GGGGGGGGGGGGGTTGGAGGCAAAAATTTAACACATGAATGAATATTGATCTTTAGTTAAAATTATTTTATATTTAAATTAATATATCTAACAAATTAAAAATAATTCAAAACCTAACATAAATAAATGAGAAAATCTATTTGAAAGCAATTAATGCAATTAAAATTGTGCCGATAAATTTAACGTTGTAAAATTGTAAAATTATATAGCAAATGAAATAATTAGTGTTGCTATAATTAATATAAGAAAATAAAATAATTTACTTAAAATTCATATTTTAAAAAAAAAATAACTTGAAATCAAATAATTATAGCTAAAATTAATGAGATATTAAAAACAATTATATCAATTATGCATAAATTTATCTATCTAATGTATAAAATTATTGTTATAAAAAAATCTTGAAATAAAATAAGAAAAAAATCACTGAACAACAAAAGAATATAATAATCTGTTGGGGTTATTTATTTCTCTGTCTTGTGTTGCTCCATTCATTCAGGTAACAGTTCCTTTTTCCATTTGAATTCGATGATAGTCAGTGACCTTTCTATCCTAATAATTAATATAATAATCTTTTTGCTATTTGTTGATCTAACAGGGAGAGTGGTTTTTACTGAAAGATCTTAACTCTAGAGTCTAATGGGGATAAGGTTTTCTTGTAGCTGTGTTTTCTTTCTGTATTTTTTTTCAAAGAAAAAAAATAATTTTGGGATAAAAGGTGGAAAACCTAAATAAGAGCTTCGGTAAAGAGATAACATTTGCAGTTCTGAGGAAGCATAAAATGGATAACCGTATCTAAAAATAAAAAAGTGAAACAGAGTACTATTAGGCTCTGTTGGGATGAAATTTTCCATAACATAAGTACGAACAAAAGAAGAAAATGAAAAGGTTAAATAAATTTTTTTTTTCATTAGTTAAAACCAACTTAATTACCTTCAACTTTAATATAAGTTTTCTCATCTAACTTTTTAACTTGTGGGAGAAATTTAATGCATTTTACTTTATTATTTTCTCATCTTGTAAATGCTTGTGGAAAAAATTAACCAAACAAGGCTGTAATCTTGGACAAAGAAGTACCACTATTATCTGTAGTTCTATTATTCTGAAAGGAACCATGTCTAATAGAAAACACAAAAGTATTATTCATCAGAAAAAGAACTATTACAGGAGATGACCCCTATAATCTCATAGCTAATGCTCCTCAGAGAAGAGACGGCTCTCTGCTGCCCAACTTCTCAAGGTTCTAACAGAAAAGATTCTTCATGCCTTCCCCCACTCCTTATAACTACATTGCCTCCCCTAACCAACTAGCTACACTAGCAATTCTAACCTATTCTGTGTTCCGACCAGCTGTTGGGCTGAGGCCCAAACCCAGTATCCTAACATTACCTGCCACTGGAAGAACAGCCTTGCCCTCAAGGATAAAAACAATAAACTGCCTTCAGAGTACAAATTCATCATTGCAAACCATAACTGGAAGTATTCTTGAAGTTCCATATTAGAAGTTGCCTTGCTTGGATTGGATAAGGGACTTGTAGCCATTGAAAGCAACTTCCTTCACGGTCCCATATCATGATTCATGAAGCATGCCGACCAAGCTGTAATAGTGTGTTTGGGTAAAGAATTTTAAATTAGAAATGTGATTTAAATAGGCATTTTAAATTTTCTGTTATAAAATTTACTGTTTGGATATTTTATTAGAAAGGAATTTAAAATTTTAGGATTTCATATTAGAATTTTAATGAAATAAAATTACAGAATTTCAAGTTCCACCTAAAACAAAAGAATTTCAACATTTCTCAGTCACTTTTGCTCTCAGGTTGTTCCGTGCTCAGTGGCTTGGATCTCTTGCTCCATGCTCATTGGCTTGAAACATTCACGTCTCTCTCTCTTTCTCGAGTCTCTCTCTCATTTGATCTCTCTTGTTCAATATCTTGGCATTCTTGCTCAAGCTCTATCTCACATTTTGTTAAGTTGATCCCTGTTCGTTTCTCTCTAATTTTTTATTGTAATTTCTGATTTCTTCTATATCTAGGGTTTTCTATATGTGTTTTACTTTTTGTTTATCTTTGATTTTTCTCATATTTGATTTATTCTCTAATCTAGTGTTTTTTGTGTTCATATGTTTGGTAATTTAATTTCCATTTGTATGCATTTGGTGCCTTTACAACTTGAAGTTGTTGTACTAAAGTGGCATTTGATTTGTTGTCTTGGATGATTGTGTGGTGAAAATTGTTGTTTTGAAAAAAAAGTAGTTTCTGTTGTACAATTAAATAACTAGTTATTACCTTATAAATTATATTAAATTAATTATAAAATAGAAGAACTCCATGCAAGTTCTTGCTAGTGAACTCTGAAATTGCTTATAATTATATTAATTATTCATGATTCAAGAGATTAGTTGTCCCAGAACAAAAATTTTATTATTTTAAAGATGATTTGCAGAACTAATTAAATATTTTTCTTGGATAAAATGTTTTTAATATATGTAATGTAAGTATGATTTAAGTTGATTTTAGTTCTCAAATTATTTTTTTTACAGGAATTAGAGAAGGATTAAGTCACACGAAGCCTCTATACGTTTGGGTAGTACATCAATGTGTGATACACCGTACATAGTTAGTAACAATCACTTGGAAAATTGGATTTATACTTGTTAATAATTTACTGCTAGCAATTTGTTGGTCTTTGCTATAGACTTATGCTAGCAATTAGTAATTAATTTTATGTTAAATAAAATACAAATATGAATTTTAATTATTTTATTTAAATAATATAATTTATAAATAAAAATAATTGTTTTATAATGAATAAAAAATTTTATAAATAAAAGAAATTTAATTATTTTGTTCAAATATGAAGTTTTAAAAATAAAAAGTTGGTTATTTAATCAAAATAAAAAATGAAGAAATCTAATTGCTTTGTCCAAACAAGAAAATTTGAAAATGAAGGATTTTAATTGCTTTATCAAAAAAAAAAAAATTTTTGAAGCAATTGAAATTCCTAAAATTTAAAACTCCCTGAAATTCTAAATTCTTTAACTAAACGCAACCTAAAATCCTAAAGTATAAGAATTTCCACCTGGGTCAAATAAGAAACCAGCTAAATTTGGAACAATAGGCTCATTCATAGGGTGTTGTTGAATATAGACACTAGATGGATTCAAGTTTTTCCCCCATGTTTCCCAAGATGTTTTAACAACACAAAGAGAAATCCTTATTCCAGTTAATAAAAACTAAAAAGTGATCGCTTGCTTCCAATGAATGAGGTATTATTAAGATTGAAGGACCAATGGTAACCAGCATAAACCTTTCCATGCCTTAGTTATGAAGGATGCTGTAAGGAATGATTTTAGAGAGCAGTAGAAACCTATACAGGTTTATTATAGAATACAGGTTTATTATAGAAAGAAAAAATGAAAAGGGCGTATTGTAAATGTAAGCTGACTGGATCAAGAGTGTTAGTTAAATCTGTTACTCTGTTGTAAACTCTTTAAATAAGACCTCTATTGTTTAGTTAAGAGAGTTTTTGGTAAAATTTGTATTAACCGGAAGTTTCCAATGTGAAAAGGAGAGTGCTCCTTTTGGGGTTATACTTGTATGCCTTGGTTCTTGTAAGAAATTTGTTCATAATCAATACAAAAGTCATTCAGTTTTTTCAGTCTAATTGTGTGGGTGTGCTGATCTTGGTTAGGATTCTGTTCTTCTTTTCCTTTCTCGAGAAGAGATTCTTAACAGATGCTTCCATCACCCATGATAGCTTCAAATATCAAAAGTGCATTTACCCTATGCATGATTGGTTTAATAAACCTTTCATCAACTAAGTCAGTTGGGTGGAACTGCACAAAATCCATGTTGAAAATCACATCTTGAGCTCAGTGTGTCATGGCTATTTCATCTTCAGCAACTACCTGAGGATTTGTAGTTTTAGGATGAATATGTCCAGCTCCACCTGAAGCAAGTAAAACCACCTTTGAAAGAAATCTTACCACCTTTAGCATTTTAGTATTCAACGTGTCAACTTCAAAACAAATTATATCAAACCCACCGTGACAAATGAGAAGATCTATAGCAAAATGGTGTTCAAACATTAAAATATTAGGATTATTGACAACTGTCTGCAATAGAACCCATTCATTGTTTTCTCCAGTCATATCATCCGCATGAGCAGTTCAAAAATGTGAATGACCCCCCTCTCTCACTAGATGCAAGTGACCATCTTTCCCATAATCAAATGATGCAAGCATAGCAATTAGTTCTCTAACTCTATTAGGTCCTATAGTACAGACAACCAGCTCCTCAATATTTTAAACAGCCAATGAACCCAACAATGGCAGCCCTGAGCACGGGTTGGTGGGACAACCGCCTAGGGCCCCATTATTGGAGGGACACCAAAAATAATTATTTAGTGTAAATAATATAAAAATACATGTTTAAATTATTAGAAATCTATTGGAGAAAGTAAATTAATTATGAATAATTAATCAATAATCGATTTTTTTTACTATAGTAAAAAAAATCTACTAATAATTTTAAAAAATAAATTAGTAATATTAAATGTAAAGAGGAAAGTGTGATATGTCATTCACTTTTTTTTTTCTTTTTTAGTGTAAACTTCCATAAGTCTTAATGTAAAATCATAAATAGGAGTTGCCTTTAATTTTCTCCATTTCCCTTTATTTCTAATTTCTTTGATTTTATTTTTGTTTTTTAAATCATGACCTATCTTATTCAACTGAAATCTCAAAATCTAATTATGAGCAAATCTAATTATAAATCTCCACCTCACTGTTGCGAGTTTCTTTGCGATATGACATCATTATTGATCCATTTTTTCAATGCATAATGGACTCTAACGGTAATTCATAATCTTGTATGAATGTACTGTATGTTTAGTTATTTTTTATGCAACTATGTGTTTAACTATTTGTATGTCTACACTTTTAGATTTGGGAATCGGAGTCATAAGTAATATTCCAATATTTATTGGGGCATTATTTTTTTATTTTGTCCAGAGTACCGAAAAACTCAAGGTTGGCTCTCGAACCCAATATCAATCAACTTTAGGCAATCTTGAATTGATATTTTAATGGTAGCAGTTGCCTTTACTCCACGAAATATAAAGTTCCACTTCGAAGATTGAGAATTTTGTGAGCTATGTAACATTTGTACTACAGATTCACAAAGCCTTTGAATCAATTGTAAGAAGGGAAGACCCTTCTGTCCCCTCCCTATAACTACATTGCCTCCCCTAACCAACTAGCCACATCAGTAATTGTAACTCATTTGGTGTTCAGGCCAGCTGTTAGGCTTAGGCCAAAACCCAGTATCCTAACACACTGACCAATAAATTTCTTGATAGCAACCTTAATATTAATCATAACAAGCTTTTGCTTGCATGGTGCAGTAACATCACTATACCTTCTTTTTATTACAAAAACATAATTTTACTACAGAACATATTAGAAAAATAAATTAACTTTGCTAATGAAGATTATAACAAAGCATCAAGTGAGAATCTAATATGTATACCTCCTCAATTAATGTTGCATATGCCTGAGGTAAATTATATCATATCCAATGTTTAGTTATTATCCTTTTGGAATGTTCATAGCAAGAGCCTGGTATAATATCACCTTGATTCTTGTTGCATATGCCTGAGGTTAATTCTAGCATATACATTGTTTAGTTAGTTATTGTTCCTTTTGAACGCCTATTGATATTCATCATGGTAAGAACCTAGTATATATATCTCCTTGATTTGTTTTACATATGTTAATTATAGCATATACAATGCTGAGTTAGTTATTATCCTTTTGGATTGTCTCTTGATAGTATATGTGACGTTACCTAACAAAGTTCCAGGTATACTTACGCAGGAACTGTGAGGGGGAAATAGATCCTAAAGGTGATATATGGGCTGCTCCATATCGATGGGGCTGCATGGTAATAGCTTACAAGACAAATAAATTTCAAAAGCATAAGTTGGCTCCTATAGAGGTAAGTTGTTTTTAATAGATACTAGAAAACTCTTGGAGTAATTGTGAGAGTATGTCAAGTTGTCAACTGAAATTGCAGGACTGGGCAGATCTGTGGAGGCCTGATCTTGCAGGGAGAATTTCAATGGTTGATTCTCCTAGGGAAGTTGTTGGTGCAGTTTTGAAGTACATGGGGGCTTCCTACAATACAAATGATATCAACGCAGAAGTTAATGGTGGGAGAGATGCTGTTAAACATAATCTGGCTTTGCTAGCCAAACAGGTATTGTTGCTGGATGATCGCTCAACTGTTGCTGTTGTTTTTTTAATTTTTATCCGAATAGAGGTGGAGAACTATAAAAATCAATACCTGACAGAATTTTTTTCATTTATGTTTTACTAAACAATAGTCTAAGTTGCTATTCATTTTATGTATTTGAAGGTCCGACTCTTTGATAGTTCAAACTATTTAAAGGCTTTTGGAGTTGGAGATGTGTGGGTAGCTGTTGGATGGAGTAGTGATATTATTCCTGCTGCTAAACGCCTATCTAATGTTGCCGTCGTAGTTCCAAAGTCAGGAGCAAGTTTATGGGCAGATCTTTGGGTATTAATCAAACTGTTATCTTTGCCTTTTCAGGTTCTTATCTGTTAGATTAATGGTTTTAAGGAATTATTATGTAGAATGATTTAATACGGTATCTGGAAACTGGTAATGAAATCCTCTCAATGGGAAATTTTCTATAAACTATTCAAATGAGATTCAGATGTACCTATTTAATTAGTCAATAATTAAAGGTGGTCCCTCATGTTTTTCAGTAAAAATTAGTCATCAACAAAGTAAATAAATTTTGTCGGTGGATATTTCACTCCAATAACATAGTTATAAAAAATTAGTCAATAATTTTATTTCCTTAGACACTAGGCATTGACATTTGTCTGCCCTCCCTTCTCAACCTTTGTTTTTGTTTTCCCAGGCAATACCTGCTGCCTCTAGGATTCAAACAAATAAGATTGGTGGACGCATCAGGGGACCATCACCATTAATCCATCAGTGGATAGAGTTTTGTCTGCAAACTGCAAGAGCACTCCCCTTTAAGCAGGAGGTGATTCCGGGTGCCTCTCCCTCCCATCTTCAAGGTCATTCAACCAATGTCCCCGTGGAGTTAAACAAGGGTAGGCCAAGGTTAAATGGCAACTTAGTCAACGGAGCACCTCCACCAGATATCTTAGACAGGTGCGAGTTTCTAGAGCCATTATCTAATTCAACATTGTCAGATTACCATTGGCTGCTTACCTCTATCCAGAAACCTGGCCATGGATTGATACACCAAATGTATCAGAACATGTTGTCAGTGGTTAAATTTTCTGGGTGGTTTAATTCAAAGCTTACTTGAGTAGAGTTACTGAGCTGGGGGATATTAATCAAGGATCCGTGGCTAATGATTTGATTGAACAGAATCTTGAAAAGTTTACTTAAGTTGTTTAACACTTGTGGAAGCCCATTTTCTAGATTACAAGGTTAGAGGTTGTCGTTCAAGGCACAACAATGACGGGGTTGCATGACATCAGTATTGATTCTGCCCCCCATATGGTTGAAAGCAACAGGTTTTCTGTAAGATTCACCTGAAAAAAGTGATTTATGTACAAGTACATCAGGTTTATTCATATTACAAGCTCAACCAACTGCATGGATTCCTATTACACCTCTCAACCAACACAATAAAAATTTATTTCCATTACTCGTGTTCAAGATATACAATAAAAATAAGTTTTCGTCATGTATGTTAAGAGTATCATAGACAAAAGGAACAAGTTTTCACTGCGTATATGCTCAAGGTAGACACCGAAAATAAGTTTTAATCGTTTTGCGGCATCAATAGTTATAATAAACATGTTTATTTGTTTTTATCCACATACAAATAATTAACTATACACGTACATGCACGTAATTAATGATGATAATATGGTTAAAAAAAATTAAACGAATAAAAAATGAACGACGATAATCATTAGAGTTAATACAAAACATGTAGGTGAGAACCTAAAGACAAAGAGACATTAAACAATAAGAATTCCTCGCATTCACCGTTAGCATACAAAAGAACAAAATGATTGTACATAACCTAAGGCATTCCTTGGTGGATACCCATTTTCCTCCTAGACTTTAATATAGCAATATTAATGAAGGCATTTGGTAGCAAAGTATTATGGATCCGTTGGGTGGTGGCAAAACTGGTGCCTTACTAATTGCGATGGGTTCAGCAAGTTTCGTTATCACAATTTACCATCTCATTATCCTCTGTCGCACCCAGCGCCACGTCACCAACCAAAATGCACAACAACAACGACAACAACAAGGGCGGAGCACGGGAGGGAACACGGTGGTGCCGCACCTGATCCCAGCCCACAAGTACGAGAAGAAGAATAACGGTGGTGACGTGGAGGAAGATGGCACGTGTGCCGTGTGCCTGGGAGACTTCGAAGAGGGTGAAGAGTTGAGGACGCTGCCGGAGTGCATGCACGCTTTCCACGTGGCGTGCATAGATATGTGGCTCTACTCACATTCCAACTGTCCCGTTTGCCGGAGTAGTGCCACGCCTCCGTCCGCGCTGATCCACCGCTCGCCGGAGTTCGCTTCCGGTGACTTGAATGAGCCTCACACTCACGCCATGGAGATGCAAATAGCTATAGTTCTTGCGCCACGCTGAAATATGTTCATGTCACTTACTTGCATGTTGGTGGAATTTTATTCAAAATTACAAAATTGTAATTTTTATTAAGTTTCATCAAAGAGAGTGCCTGAAAAGGGATACAAAGATAAAGAAGTCAAGCAAGTTATTTGTATACCGTATGGTGGCCGACGTCCAGGCTGAACATCCGAACCCGTGAATGCTTAGGCCGAATATCCGAGTCCGTCGACCACTCATAAAGTGAATAAGACGCGTCGATGTGGTCGGCCAAGCTCAGGGCCTCCGCCAGGATGATTACGAAGAGCTTAATTAACATAATGCATCGGATAGCCCCCTAATTTTTCGGGGCTCAATCCTTAATCACGGCCCAATAAGAACACCTATAAATAGAGCCCCAACGAGGTATGTAACCAACTTTCAACTATCGCATTTATTACGCCTAGCACTTACTTGAGCGTTGGAGTGTCTTTGCAGGCACATCCCCCCGCTTCGGACTATTCGGATAGGATCGAGAAGACCCAGACCTAGACCCGACCCGCGACAATAAGGATAATTGAAGTGTGTATCCTAACACAAGAACATTTGGCACCCACCGTGGGGCCGAAGAGACGTTTCAACCCCTTTTTAACTCTACGACTGAGACCGAGATATGGTAGTAACGCTCAAAGGACAATCGACGTCGACTCAACCGATTCCTAACCCCGAGAATAGTCTCATCATGACTGGTCAAGAACGATGCCCGTATGGAATGCCCCAAACCCAATCGAAACCTGTGATACAAGAAATTCGGCCTCAAACCCAACCGGACCCGCATGCCGACCATGCCCGATGATTTGCGCGCATTACGCGAGGAAATGGCCGTTATCCGAAGACAAAGAGAGGCCGACGCCAGGGAGTTGGCCAAACTATGCCGCTAGAACGCTAAGCTTCGAAGCCTTAACCAGACATACGTGCCATCAACTCCTACTCTCCAAGAGGAGTCGGCATATCATGCCCCAACCGACCATGTAACCCGAACTCCGGTCACCTCTTTGATAGCTAACAAGGCCGACACCACCACTCACTCCCTAAGGCATCCTTTCTCTCGAAGAATAATGGAGGCAACCCTGCTAGACCATTGGAAGAGCATGCCGATCGAGAAGTACGACGGGTCTTCCGACCCCGAGGAACACTTGAACGTTTTCTTGACTCAAGCAACCCTCTCCACTCAAGACGACTCGGCTTTGTGTCGAATATTCCCCACGTCGCTAAAAGGAAGGGCTTTGAGTTGGTTCACGAGACTGCTGAGCGCCTCCATAGACTCGTTCAGCGAATTGTCGTCCCAGTTCACCCTACAATTCGCAACGAGTAAGCCGTACAGGACGACCTCGTTAGCCTTAGCGGGGGTCCGTCAGGAAAAGAAGGAAAGCCTGAGAGGTTTCAAGGACCGGCCCACTTGCTGAAATAATCGATTATATTTAACAATAATCGATTATTTTAAGTCAGTTCTTAAAACTTCATTTTAAGTCTCAAAATAATTTTCCAATGTTTAACTCATCATCATCTACTCCCTACTTGATTCTAGACAAGATTTGCTCAATGCACAAAGCACACACAGACACAAATACAACAATTCATTTATAACAATTTGCTTCCTAAGCTCTATTACATTGCTATACTTCAAGGTATTTTTCTTGACTCTTCCTTGACTTTGTTTTTGTGTTCAATGTTGTTGTTGTACACTTGTTGTCTCCAAGTTGTTGTGATCATCAAAACTCTTAAGGTCTTCAGCTCCCCTAAGCTCAACATGGCTAACAATGGTGGTGTAACCAGCATTATTTTTGAAGTCTTGGAACAATGATTCACATTCTTCTATCCATTGAAACTTGCTGGCTTTCTTCAACAAAGACATTATGAGCCTCGACTTCTCTTCCATGCAAGGCAAGAATCGGGCTAGCAATGCTATTTGCTCGGCCAATCGTTGTACTTCCTTCACATTGCGTGGGCTTCTCATGTTGACAATGCTTAGGCACTTGTTAGGATTGGCTTCTATCCCTCTTTTTAAAACCATAAAGCCCAAGAACTTTCCTCTAGCAACTCTAGAGGTGCACTTTTCTGGATTCAAACGCATGTGGTACGCTCATGTGACTTACTGCATTCCCGGTGACTGTGTCTCAGAGGCACTCTGTCTTGGCCCTCTCTCTTGTGATCCCTCTGATCGGGATAGCTTTCATGCCTCTTGTTCATGGACTGGACAAAATTCTAGAGGTTCCCTCCCTTCACGAGATCTTCGATGCAGTCTCAGAGGGTTGTACATTCCTTCGTGGTGTGCCCCCTATTCCTGTGGAATTGGCACATCTTCGTTTTATTTGCATGGGGCGGAGTCATAACGCGTCGGGGTACTGCAAGGAATTACGTGGCCAATTCTTGTTCTAGTACCTTAGCTCTGCTGTCATTAAGAGGTGTGTATTGCGCGTACCTTGGTCCTCTTGTAGCTCTTTCGTGATCGATGTTGCTCGCCGAGCGAAATTTGGCTGAGTGTTCTCTTTCTCCTTCCCTCTTGTGAGGATTTTGTCGTAACTGATTTCTAAACTCTGTTAACTCCTCCATTTGCATGTACTTGGTAGCTCTTTCTCGCAACTCGTCTAGATCTATAGGCAGTTTCTTCCACAAACTGTTCACAAAGGGTCCGGGTCGTAATGTTGTAGTGAGGTGGTGCATAGCTACTGCCAGGTCCAAGTCTCGAATGGCCAGCGTCATTTTCCTAAACCGTTCCATGAAGGCCCTCAATGGCTCCCTCTTTTCTTGGCAGATATTGATCAAGGCAAGGGAGGTAAGCTGATGGGGTCGGCTTGTGGCAAACTGGATGCTGAAGCGGGTGGCTAGTGTGGCAAAAGAGTCTATGGACCCCGAAGGGAGTCTGGTGAACCAGTTTAAGGTCGGTCCTTTCAACGATATAGGGAATACTTTGCACATGATTGCATCTTCGTCTATGAACAAACTGACTTGGGTGGTGCAGGCATCCAGGTGTTCTTCCAGATCGGTAGTCCCATCATACCGTTCCAAAGCTAAGTTTTTCCAATTGTCGGGTAACTATGCCCCGATGATATCAGGGATGAATGGCATTTTCCCTTGTCGTCTTTGTTGATCAAGTGTCGTAGTGGTTACTCCAGCTGGTCGGCCAAAGGGCCTTGACTCCTTATACCATCCCGATGATTCACCCTGATCGTTAATGAGTTTTGTATTTGGGATGCTTTGCAACGGTTGCCACGAGCGATTATCGCTTCTAAGTTCGGTATTCTCCCTTCTTAAGATGGATAATTCATGGGATCCTTTTCCCAAAGCCTCTTCAATTCTAACATTTCGGCCTTTAGTTGTTCTATGGCTAATGATGGGTTCGCTGGTTGCGAGCAGTCCACGTACGATTCCTCCATTCCTTCATCATTTTGATTTGTCTACTATCTGGGCTCTCGGGGCATCCCGAGGTTATGAATGGTCGCATTTTCTTGTTGGCTCCCAGTTGCTACCATCTTAATTCAGGGTCGAAAACCGCTTTGGTTTCGGCCCCACGGTGGGTGCCAAAATGTTCCTGTTAGAAACACTTATCCTGTCGCTCCTGCTGACTACTCTTCTAAGTCCCAAGTGTTGGTTGAATCCTGTCTCTAAGAGTGAGAAGTGTACCTGCAAAAGGCACTCCGACGCTCAAGTAAGTATTCGGTATAGAGCAAAGGTGGTTACAGTATTTAATGATCGTACCTGTTTCTGTTCAATCACCTCTATATTTATAATGATGTATTTGGGTCTGGTGGGCCTTCTGTCTTGGGATGTGGGTAATTAGGGTTTGTAAGTTAATTAGCTCAATCCTAATTGTCGACGTGGCTCCAATTGTCAACGTGGCTCTCGCTGGCTTACTCCCATGTTTTGGAGTGTCGAGAACCTTCTCGGCGTGTCTCAAGACCGAGGGGTGTGAAAGGTTTCCATTACCCTTCAATTGGTCTAAGAGCCGAACGGGGTCTTCAGCCTTGGTTGTTGCCAGGAATAAACGCAATTCACCCTTCAGCTAGGCTTGAGGCCGAATAGGGTCTTCGGTCCTGGCTGTGCCCGAGAATAAAGCGCATTACCATTCGGTTGGGTCTAGGGCCGAATGGTGTCTTCAGCTTTGATGATAGCCGAGTAAGTGTGCTACCCTTCGAGTGGTCCTGAAGTCGAATGGGTCTTCGACTTTGTCTTTGACCGAGAAAATATGTGTATCCCGTACAAAATATATAT